ACCATCTAGTTGAGTGAAGTCCATTAGTCCTTTGGACTAATGTTTCCTTGAATTTTGGCTTTTTCTCACTCTTCTTTCCTCTGGAGCGGGAGAGACCAATCGTAGTCGGGTGATAGGACGTTGTCTTTGTGAACTATGTTATGCCATCTGACTTACCTGCTTTCAGGTCTTCATTCCCTCAAGGTGTTTGGTTATGACTGAGAATTTTTATAACTTTTTTTACATCAGTTTGCTGTACTATATACATGGATGTATATATTTATAGCACATACAAATATGCTTATAGAAAGATCATCTGTTCATCTTGAATGCCTCCTTTTGAAGTTTATTGTTCCCTTAGACTCTTTTGCAACCCCCTTATGGTTACCTGGTGTGTTTTTTTTAACAAATCACTGAATATCATTGCTCTTAATTGCTATTTTCAGAATATTCGGGATTTTGTTCAGTCTAAACATGGAATGGATATTCTAATGAAAAGTTCCCTAACCTGAGAACTTGAGCAGATTGTCAGTAGTTTATGAGTTCATTGGGAAAGAATTCTAAATTATTTTTGCTAGCCACTATTCCCTGGTGACTTTTTGTTTGTGTTACAATGCTGAACACCATGAAGCATCACAAAACCCCAGAAAGTGTCCCCTTTCACAGTTCAGAATTTCTATAAAGTTTACATGGCTTGCTAGCCAGTGTTATTATTGTGTAGTTTATATTGTATCTCCTGAGTTGGAAGGTATATTTACTATTTTCACATAAATTTGATTTTGTCATCTGTCATGGCAATGGAGAATACGTCCTGTAAAGATTTCACGTATTCCTCAGCAATATGAGTTCCCAATGTATTGAACTCACGTGACTTTGATCAATGACTTTCATTGAAAAAAATCTTTTCATCTTTCATTAGCATAGCCTAGATGGTAAGGAAAGATCATGAAAAAGATCAGACATGAAAAAGACATACAAAAATGTATGGATTTTGAAACATGGGGAAGGAGAGAAAGTAGAGATTTGGACAGAGCATGCAAGGAACTCATGACAACATTTCATGACTACATCCCAGAACCCCTTGTGACCCTCTGATGGAAATTCCTGAGAATCTTTTTAAAAGCTCAAAACGCATGTGATGGGACAAGACATACTGAGCCCCACCATGCTGTTCCATTTCTTCCTCCTAGGAGCTTCTAGGGAGAAAGAAGGATGAGGCTGGCTACTCTGGTATGAGTTACAATCTCAGAAACCCACAGAGACTGTTCTACTCTTTATTATAGCGCTGCTGTGAGACAGAATCAACCCCAAAGCAGCGAGTTTGGTTTGGTTTGAGGAGCTTCTAAAGAAAGTTCTCTGGTGATGCTTTATGTCTTCCAAGCATAAATCTTTCTCTTGGTAAGACAAGAACCTCATACTAGTAATAATTTTGAATCAGTTCATGCTGTTTTGTCTCCCATTTAAAGTTTGCATTTCTACCCCAGAGATGCTGAATCATAATTTCCATCTTTACCAAAAGCCCTAGGTGAATTTTATAGGTTCTTATAGGAGTGTATAAGAATCGCATGGAGAAATCTTGTTCTTGTTCAGCATATCTGGGGTGAAAATGCAAATACAGATTTTCAGCAGGAGGTAAAAATGTAATGAACTGGTTCCAAATTCTGGGCCAAGATCAACCATTGATCTGAGACCAGAACCTTGATATTTAGTCCTTAGCCACTTGGCTTTATTCAAAAAGCTCATACTCCAGGTGCTGCCAGTCTTTTATTGGAATGTTCTTCCTCTGCTTCTTCACCTTCAAGCATTAGCTTCAGTGTCACCTTTCTCTTAGGTGTCACCCATCTCCCAGGATTCTCTTTCTCGGCATACTTGCATTGTGTCTTGCCTCCATGCCATTAAAGTAGAAGTTCAAATTGAGCAGTGATCTGCCCTTCCATCTCAGTATACTGTCCCTGACACCTAACACATGTCTGAAACATGGCAGGCAATCACAGTATTTGCTGGGTTAAAAAAATGAACTAAAATCTACTGAAGTCTAACCATGAAAAACGTTAGAAAGGGGAGAGATGTTTTCTTTTTATAACTGTTAAGAGGGGAAATGACTGCAGGGGTTGAGGGGATGTGTATTTATTTTGCCAGTCAATTACTTTAAGTCCAAATTGGGTTTACATGTGACTTGATCTTGCAGAGACAAGCCTAGCAAAAAAAAAAAAAAGAAGTCAATAATAGCAAAGATGCTGTTGAAACACAATAGCTACTCCACTGATATTTAGAAACCAGTCTCAATCAATTCACAAGTTTCTAAGGCATATTGATATTTAGACCAATCCAAATCAATTCAGAAGTTTATAAAAAAACTTTATTAAACTCTGATGAAGGAATTTGGGATGTTTTGTGCATTAGGGAGGAATGATTCACTATAGGCCATATTGTACACAGCAGTAGTTGATAAGATGCTCAGAAAGGAAGATTAGAAGGGAATGTGGTTAAAAGGGCTTTTTTTTTTTTTGCCAGCAAGGTTTACATTATTGCCCCATTTGCTTGCCTTTGAAGCTTAGATGTTTTTCCCCTAGTAACGAAGTTATCTAAAATAAGCACTCAAAAGCAGCCCAAGGGTTTTATTGTATATTATGAGCTCTTTGCTGCTCTCAAATAATTGCTTAACTTAAGTCCTCCCCTCCAAGCTAGAAACAATCTAATCAACAGGTTTATCATTTCTTTTAGAAATGTAAGTGTAATAAATAGGAAGAGGCCTGATGTAGGCTTCATTTCCCAGATGCAAAGTCTCTGGCATAGCTCTGCCTCCCTCAAGAGAGAGGCAAGCAGCCTAGAAGCTTCTTGCTTTTGCAGATCATTTGAAACTGGCTTGATTATAAGAAGAAGGATGATGGCATCCAATGTTGTAGGACATTAATGGATTTAGATCATTCCTGATTCTGGGAACACAGAGCTGTATGCTGACTGATAGCCCCGGGAGGGTTCAAACCTGATAGAATTTGTTTCCAGTCTTCTCTTTCATCACTCCATTCAGAGGCCTGTGATGAGCAGATCCCTGTGGGTCGGTCAGTGGTCCTCTGCTTAGCCTGCCCTGTTGACTATGCTCTTTTCCCTAATCCTGTATACAGATGTTCCTTTCTCCATCTCCTCTCTTCCTATCTATACTTCAGTATCCACACCCCGCTACTTAGTATTCACATGGTAGTTCCATTCTTGGGGGATCCCTGGTGGTGTAGTGGGTTCTACAGTGGGAGGCTACTCTCAAAGTCAGCACTTCAAAACCACCAGTTGCCCTGTGGGAGAAAGATCAAGCTTTCCACTCCAGTCAAGCTTTCCAGTCTCAGAAACCCCGAGACATCACTGGACTCTGTCTCTCTAGGGTCACTGTGAGTCAGAATCGACTGGATGGCAGTAAGTTTGGTTTGGGGGAGCTCAGTACTTGCAACACAAAAACCAAAACCTGTGCATTGTTAGTTATCTCACAAGTATTTATTTGCCTTCTCTCCCTTTCATGCCTTAAGATACTCGAAAACAAAGGGCTGCTGTGTGTATATGTTTTGTAGCTCTCATTCATGTAAAGTCATATTGAATATTTATTGAATACTTTCTATGTACTAACTATTCTTCTTGGTACTAGGAATTAGAACGAGGTCCTAGCATGCATGGAATTACATTTCAAATGAGATGAGGCAGGTCATAATTTTAAGAATAAAATTAATTAATTCATTAAAATATCAGGATTGGTAGGGAACAAGCCAGGCATGGTATAGACCAATGGTTCTCAAACTCGGGATCACCCGATTCATAGCAGTAGCAAACTTACAGTTATGAAATAGCAATGAAAATAATTGTATGGTTGGGGGTCACCACAACCTGAGGAACTTTATTAAAGGGTCGCAGCATTAGGAAGGTTGAGAACCACTGGTATAGACCATTCCTGGGTGTTTACTCTGAATGGCCAGAGAAGGCTTCTTGAACAAAAAGCATTAAACTCAACCTAAATGACAAAGGAGTCAGTCATGTGCTGGTCAAAAGCCAAACCAAACTCAGTGCCATCCAGTGGGTTTGGGCTCTCAGTGACACTGTAAGAAGATGGTGCCCGGCGATCCAAAGATAGAGCATCTGAGGTCTTAAAGGCTTGAAGGTAAA